TGGGAAGAAAAGAGCAAACAAAGGAAAATGAAAGAGAAAGAAAACGTACAAACACCTGCATCACTTTTTAATATTTTGTTCTTGGAGAGAATCAAAGAAGGAAGGGGAGAGAGGGGAGAAAGTAGACCTTTTTGTAGTTTACAGAACAGCAAGGATTCTCGAGGTAATCAATATCAAAGCTTTTGAGGGAAAGTCATTTTACCTTCTCAGCCATGGCATCCATAAAATCTTGCCTCTGATATTCCCGCCGCCGAAGATGTCGATAGACATGAAATTCCCCACTTCCAGCCCCAGCACTGGAACCTGTCGAAAAAGAAAAGGCAAAAATATATAGGGCTGAAGCAAAATATTCCATCTTAATCTCCAACAGTTTAAGAGTCCCAAATAGCTGAGTTCGGTAAAGTCTCTCTTTAAATCTTTGAAAAGTTGTTACCATTTACTAGAAACAAGTTGGATCTGAAACAATGAAAATTATTTCATTCCACATATCTTACCCCAAATCTAACAGACAAGAATCAGTGATGTGGTTTAACACCATTTTGGCATAGGAAATACATGAACATTTCAATATAACCCCAATATAACAGACCAAGTATAATTGAAACTATAAAAGAGCTCAAAATTCAGGAGAAAAAAAAATAAAATCCTGGCTAGGCTCACTTGTATAATCACTCTACTTGCTAGACCCTACTGCCAATGGTACATGTTCCCATATTCATTGTCACCTACAGTAATCCCCATGGCAACTTAGAAAAATAAATTCATTACATATTATGAATTTGAAATTACTTAGAGACTGAATAAAACAGTCATGTGAACCTTATGACCTTTTCATATGAGATCTTCTATGAAGCATATGCTACTTTATGAAAAATTAAATACAAATGCAAATATGAGAGTTATTTTTCATTTTGCTAATATGAATTTCCCTCCTCTACCTAAAAAGGGCAAATGTGATCAGTTATGTTCCTTGGTTTGGTGTAATAACACCCTTTGTCTTGACAAAGACTGTTAATATTCCCAAGGATGAATGGAAAAAGTTTTAAGTTTGTTACAAGTAGAGGACTGTCCATTAAATAATGTAAACTCACACATTTTATAAATTATTTTGTATAACTTATCCTAAATTTGTTAGATATGAAGATCAATTACGTGAAGCATTCAAGTAAATCATGCAAAGCAAAGCCCCAGTCATCTTATTCAGCAAATATCTTTGATTGTGCACAGTGCAGGCATTTCTCATTATCTATGCCATAAGAGTTACTTTACCTTTGCTTTTAAGTAAAGGGCAAGATTTTGAGAAAGCAGCTCCTTGTTAAAATCATACTATAAATTCACATCCCTGGCCACCAAAATCTCAGATTTTCTCTGCAATATCTCACAACAAACAGAGGTATAAGTCATTGTTCAAAATCTCTCCATTTACAGTTATAAAATTGAAACATTATTTAAGAATCAGGGGATTCAGAGTTGTAAATATCTCACTACAATAACATCCATGGATCAGAGGAATTTGAAGAGTTTGTTAAGGCTAATATCAAAGTGCAAAATTGGACCAAAAATTGCCTCTGAAACAAGTTTCAAACTTTTCCTTGACACCATCAATTTTACTCTTCAAAACTCCTGTTTTTCCTCCTTTTCTCTAAAAGTAACGAACAAAACCCAAGAAACTACTTAAAAGACCCCCCCACAACTTACCCATAACATCTCTGACAAATTCTGGAGGTGGGCGGGGTGCCCATTCATTCAGCTTTTCAGGAATTGGAACTGTTTTATCCTGCAGTGAAAAATAAGCCACACTCTGATGCTTCCAATGGGAGTTATTATTTAGAGCTACAATTAAATTGCATACAGATTCTAACAGTGGAGAGAAATCACGACTGATTTTAACCCATGTAGATATTCCATGCTTGACTACACATTGTGGATCCAAAGTATCACAATACTGGAATGCATAAACATCAGACTGCCTTGATAGATCCAATCCTATATTCCACCAACCAGCAGCGAAATAATCAGGATCAGTGACACTAATTCAAATCTTTATTGTCAGTGCACAACATTTGTACAATGAGATTGGTTGAGCTCCCTAATCTTTATGCTGAGGAAGGGGAAGCTTAACTCCTCTACTCAGGGACGTAATAGAAGTAGCTGAAGGAGAGGATGCCAAGCCACAAACTTGAGGAAAAAAACCCCAGGACTGATTTGGATGACGGGGAGAAATCTCCCTCTTCAGCCCCCTAGTTCGATGATTGTAACAAGGACCCAAGTGCCCTCAGCTGGGGGAATGAAAGCAGCCAGGTCTCATTTCTCAACCGCCAAAAAGCTGGGGAGAGCCAAGGGGAAGTAGCCACGCCCACCAACACATACCCCGCCCCCTCACCGGATTTCTCATTAGCCTCTCTAGCTTGAGGCGCTGCTCCTCTGCGGCACTCCGGGGAATGACCAGCGGCTGCGGCTCCTTCCGGGGCCGAGGGGGCCGCGTCGGCCCCGCCGCCATCCTACTCCCAAGTTTCCCTCCCCCTTGTGCAAAAGGCCGCGGCCCCGACCGATGACGTCACGGAGGGCGACGGTCACACAGACTCGGTCTGCGGAGGCGGAAGAAGGCGGGGATAGTGACGTTCCCGCCTCTTTCCCCCCTACTACTCTTCCTTTCATAGGAAGAGCGAGCCCTTACTTTCTTTAATATTAATGAGGGCGGGAAACCTGAGGAGGCGTGTCTCTCCTGAAGCGAATGGAAAGCCTAATGGGTTTCCCAGGATTCCTCGCGGCTTCTTCTAATTCTGTTTATTATAAGCGTCTCGTTTATAGCTATGACAACGAGAACGCTAATAATTGCATTTGGGGATAATCCAACCAGCTTCTAAATATTTCCCTGTTCAGTAAACACGCTTGTCCACGTAGAATTAAGTTATATCGATCGCGGGTCTAATGTACATTTTATTCGTTTATTTACATACTGAATTTGTTCACTTGATGGGAGCTTTGAAATTGGTTAAGAAAAGGATCCGGTGGTTTTCAGATATAAGAGAATCATTTTGTTAACATAGGTCTGTGTAGCTGCCTACCACAAGGGCAACAGAATACCTGTTGACTTAGAAAAACAGGCGGAAAAGATTGAGCATTCAAAGTTTAAATCTCTTAAGAGTGAGTTCCTGTGTTTATGCTTTGATTGTAGTGAATTGCAGTAGGCGAATATGTGAGACACCACTGTGTATGATTTCATTTTAGTCTGCAATGAGTTGAGTTTTCTGCAGAATAAACAACAAATTCTGGAGGGTTAGGGTTTGTCCTAGAAAATTCAGAGTGGAGAGCCTTCATTTATAATTGTGTAAGGTGCAAACTCTGCCAGAGTTTTTTTTTTTTTTTGCTTAAAAGCATCTATTTTAGAGTGCTTGATCCAGTTTCCAAAATAATAAATATTTGAATAATAATAATAATAATAATAATAATAATAATAACCGGGACGCCTTGCGCACGGTCACTCACGCCCTTGTCACCTCCCGGCTGGACTACTGTAATGCTCTCTACATGGGGCTCCCCTTGAAGAGCACTCGGAGGCTCCAACTGGCCCAGAATGCGGCCGCGTGGGTGGTTATGGGCGCAACCCATTATGCCCACGTGACATCCCTCGTGCGCAAGCTGCACTGGCTCCCAGTGGTCTTCCGGGTGCGATTCAAGGTGCTGGTTACCACCTTTAAAGCGCTCCATGGCATAGGACCCGGGTACCTTCGAGACCGACTTCTGCCACCAATAGCCTCCCACCGGCCAGTCCGCTCCCACAGAGAGGGTCTCCTCAGGGTGCCATCGGTCAAGTTATGTCGGCTGGCGACACCCAGGGGGAGGGCCTTCTCTGTGGGAGCCCCTGCCCTGTGGAATGAACTGCCCCCGGAAATGCGTAAGATCTCTGACCTCCGTGTATTTTGCTGTGCCCTCAAGACCCTGCTGTTCCGCCAGGCCGGGCTATCAATGTAATGATTTTAAATTAGGAGTTTTAAATTTTGGGGGTTTTAAATTTGAGCCGAAACTAATAATTTTAATTATTTTTAATTGATGTCTGTCTTTGTGCTTTTAATAGGCTGTACACTGCCCTGAGTCCTTCGGGAGAAGGGCGGTATAGAAATAAAATTATTATTATTATTATTATTATTATTATTATTATTATTATTATTATTTATTATTATTATTATTATTATTATTATTATTGAAACTAAATTGGTTACTCTGGCACATGCATCTCTAGAATAAATTGATCTGTGATGGGAAAGAATCATTAGAACCTGTTACTTGAATGATCTACGCTGAAATCGGGCCCAGTTCCACCAACAAATCATTTCCTGTTTTGTGCAATGGCTGTCTGCACATTATAGCCAAATCCTCAAATCTGTCACATCCTTTGTCATGAAAGTAGAGCAACAGTGCATCATACAATTTGCACAATCCTTCAGTTTAGCCCTGAAGGAGAGAATGAATGAAAAAGGTGAGGCTGCCCCACTTTTGTATAAGAAGAGAATTTTTTTGTCACTTTCAGATTCTGTTATGCCCTGTAAAGTGCATATCTGATGTCTGTTTCCTGGCCTTGAAGGGATGGCATAAAGATCATACAAAATAGAGATGTCTAGGATCTACACAGAGTTTAATCTGGTCTTGGTATGTCTTTGCCTGGTAAAATGTAAACTGAGGTAGATGCCAAGTAGATGTCATTGTTCCTTTTTGATTTTGTCTTAAGACCCTCTTGCCAAACTCTACAAACTGAAGTTCTGAAAACCATACCGGTACTAGATTTACAGTAAGGAGAAAGAGCAACAGATTCTACTGCAATCCTTTGTAGCCCTTACTGTACACCAAATTAGATCTTGTTTTACTTGCGTGGGTTACGTGGCTGAGGAATTCTGGAAGTTGAAGTTCACCCATTGCCCAGGTTGCCTGCTATCTTGCTGCCATCTTGCTAAAAACAGGACTGATTCTACTGTATTATAAAAGGGGACAGACAGAACAGCTGCATTATGTATTTTTATTACAAGTATTAGGGACTGAAAGTACATAATTTACAGAGCTGAAGAAGCTTCTTGGATGAGAAGCGAAACGTCTTCAAAGAAAAACCAGAAAGTCCAGCTGCCTCTTGAAAACACCTTTGGGACAAACCTGTGACCTGGATGACTGAGAATCTCCATAGATATTTACATAATTTACAATCCCATTTTTCCCCATGAGATGGCACTAGTGCATTTCTACAATATTCAGCAGTTATTTTAATTTGATTGAATATATTTTCTGAAAACAGTCCCTTTATTTTGTGACCATTTAGATCTGAAGAAAAACCACAGACAATCCATTTCTTAATGCAAATGACCCCTTTGCAATAAATAAATGAGAGAAAAATCAGGAGTCTTGTAGCAACTTTTATGATTAACAAAATTTTGTTTAAAAACATAAGCTTTTAATTTGTGAATTAGAAAAGGAACTACCAGACCACTTATGACTTTTTGTTGCCATAGATATCTCCTATAATAGAGAATAAAAAAGGCTAAATAGAATAATTTAAGTCCCATGTCAGTTTCAATGCTGACAATGTAGACTTTCCCCTCTTAATTTAGTTGAGAAATTATTGTATTTTCCCCCAGTTTTATAAGTTGTTGTTTTGTTGTTTATAAAAATATCTGGAGAAGATGCTGACAGTAGATGCCACTCCAAATATTTCTAATATTACTAATAATTTCTAAATATTTCTAATAATTTCCAAGAGAATTTGATCAAAATTAACAAATGTGTACATAGTTTAATAAGGGTTCTTGTGAATGTGTCTATAGTGCACTGATTTAACAACTGCAGTGATTCACTTAACAAATGTGGCAAGAAAATGGGGCAAAATTCATTTAACAAATTTCTCACTTAGCATCATAAATTCTGGGTTTGATTATGATCTTAAATTGAGGGCTACCTGTATCCAGTTTAAAGAATCAGATTGTAATGATTGAGGTGCTGATTTTGTTCCCACAAATTTACTACCCAAAGTTAACTAATATGCTGTATTGGACTAGTTTTAGTGAATCACAGATATTATCTAGGTCTGTTTCAAGTGGCAAATAGTCTTGGCATAGTTCTGCACAGGGCTTTGGTTCTGACTCATCAATCTATGCCTGAACATCATTGCCATTAGACGGGCTGTGTGAGAATGAGTATTATTACACAATTGAAAATTCAAAAGAATGTAATAAATCTTATCAGACCTTTACAATATTTTAATTTTAAAAATAAGATTTCAAAATAGTAAAAGTTTAAAAATAACCATTTTTCAAGTAACCATTTTTCAACATATTCTTCAGATCTTGAAAGCATCCTTGCTATTGCCTCTATTGTTCCTCCCTACTATTATTGGATTTGTTCCCAAGATTATTGTGTGTCCTTCCTTTAATGTCCATTTACATTTTTAATTGTATCTTTAATGCCTATGATTAAAGCCTTTATTTCCAACTCCCAACCCAAAAGGAAAAAAGCTGAACCATTATTTTTCCAGATCCTTTACAAGTTTGTAAATAAAATTTATTCTACTGCACATTAAAACTTTTTCACAGTTTTAAAAAAATTGTATTTACAAATTAACATTCAGTTTGCAGCTTCTGGAGGACTTTCTCCCCATTGTTTCAATTGGCACAGAAAAAATTAAAATCCATAACTTTTTAATTACCTGGTTAGTACCACCAAATGATTCTTCATTATGGAGAACATAGGTGATTGGTACAAGCCTCAATAACATTGTCATGAGATAATTATACAAATGACATGAATTATGAAATCATGGTAACTATGAAAGTAACCATTGATTCCTTGAGTACATATTTATTTAAAAAAGAATCTGAAAATTAAGTCTGCATTTAAAAAGTCCCCTTGTATTATATCATGTTCCATGTATGAGTCTTTTATTTAGAGGATTTTGCTCTAAAAATCATGACAGTATTTTTTAGTATTGTGATGCTCAAGAAGCATCGTTTTTATCAGTCTGTTTTTAAAAGAGACATACATTTAGCCATCTATGTATTCTTAACAAATCATTTTTCCAAATTTTCCTATGAAGGCAAAGGCTAAGAAATACAATAGTGTCAAAAATCAAATAAATTTGGTTTATTTTAGGCCAAAGTTGCAGAACCTATAGCCTTCCAGATATTATTAAATTAAAATTCCCAACATCCCTCACTTAATTCATGCCAGTTCCAACAAAAAATCTCAGTTCTTCAAATACTTCACTCCATTCTCAGGAACTTGCTTTCAACTGAAGTTCACAGGGAGTGTACAATATAAAACCAATATGAAAAAAACGCACAACATACATTTTGTATCTGAGCATGTCCAACTTTTCTGTCTAGCTGTTTGCCAGTGACAACTTTGAACATTCAGGGCATAAATTACTAGTTTTGCAATTAGGTCTAGCAGTCTTAGGCAGTCTCTCTTGAATCTTTTAATTTGTGAATTACTAACTGGTTTAGTATGCAATCCAAAAAAATATACTGTGTTAAATAAATATAGTGCTTAGTCAAAATTGACAACATTGCACTAGTTGTGTTCTGAATCTAATAACAGTACTATGATTTGAATAGAATTTCAGTGTTAAGCATAAGTCTTAGGGCAGCATAGTGATTTCCTCCCCATCACCAATTTCTATTCCTTGGCAATTCAAATGGTTGCAGTTTATATGTTGCAATTCAAGTGGATGCACAGTTTTCTGGTTTATATGTGTTTTATAAAATAATTTTTTAATATTATATTTTGCCTTTCAACTTTTTTTTCTAATACTTTAGTGACTTTGACATTGAAGTATTATATTAATACAGAACTGTGTAATCATTTTCATGTAAATCAATCAGGAAAATTCTGTAAACTAGCCAACTATAGATTTATTGGAAAATAGCTACATTTTTCCATCTCTTTGTTACAAGCAAATTTCATTTTGTTAGATTAAGTGATGGAATACATGAGGAGCTTCCAAGATATCTAAAATATCAAACTGATTTTTTCCTATGGTTCTCAGTTCATAGAATTTCAGAGCTCCATGCCATTACTTATTTTGAAGAGTATATTTCAAAGTTTTTCATGTAAACTCATTATTTTTCATTTCAGTTCAAAAGATGTTTAGGGATTCTTTTTTAATTGAAACAATTGCCATTTCACTGAGGAAGGAATAATGCCAAATTAAAATTAAAAGGCAGTGTTATGCACTTACTAACTCTGCATTTTTCTTCAAATCACATAGAAAATACAATAACGAAAGTTACTCAAATTAAGATGCAACTAAATGCTTTTACAAGAGAAGTTATTAAAGGGAAGTTACATGCCACAAAAGAGAAGCTGCCCATTTTCAATATGATTATAATGAAGATCAATTCTTGTAAATCATATTTAATGCAAATGCTAGATTGTTATCATCAAACAGAAACTTACAAAGAACTTTAAGCAACATGTGGCTTTGTTGTGTGATCCTCTAATACACAGATCTCCAACCTTGGCAACTCCCAGAGTTGAAGTCCACAAGTCTTAAAGGTTCCAAGGTTGGGGATCCCTGCTCTAATAGATTGTTATCTGTCCAGAAATAACAACTGCACCAATTGTAAAACCAGAAGGCTTCAGATCCTCTTCCTACCACTCAATATCAATTGGAATTAGTTTAGTGGAAAAAGAATTGTAACATGTCTTGGGTAGTACAGTAATGCAAAATAAGTACAGTAAACTATCTGAAGTGGAATCAAGATATTAACTGTAGTCCATCAACACTGAAAGGCAATAAGTGGTGCTGATTTTTGGAGAGGTGTTACTTTTCATACACACTTGACCTAGATGGACCTCTGTTCTTATAGCAGGTTAGGCAGCTTCTTATGTCTGCAACCTACATAACTGCACTCCAGACACTTATCATTTTGTTTGCAAAAATGTAAAATATGGGAAGAGTATGCAGTTTAAAAAAAAGGAACAGAGCAAACAATTTACAGGATGTATACAAGAAAATCACTTTTGCTAGTCATTCCAGCATTGGCCTCAAAGTACACATCTCGACATTGCTGATTATGGGGCAATATGAAGTCTTAGCAACAATTAGCTACAATTGCCCAGCTTCAATTCACTTTTTAAATCACCATTTCCTGGTTCTAATTTTCTGATTTCATCCAAATTCAGGCAGCCAAAATAGAAAAAAAAGAAACACAAGTGAAATAACCTGACTCCATGCAGATGTAGTTTTTTCTCCGTAATTCTAGATTGTGCTCCTGGACCCAAAAAGTTAAGTAAAAGAGAAAGATTGTGTTTCACTCTGACGTTTTGTAGCTATGTGAAGACGACCACCACTGTACCTCCTCAGGAATAGGAAGGACTATCTTTACTTTTTAGTATGAAAGAATGCGAGAAGGTATTGTACACATATTCACAGGCCTGGAGAAAAGCAATAATAAATGCTATAAAAAGTAGCCAACAAGGAGATGAAGACCTTTTCAATTCAATTCTTTTCAATTCTCCAAAACTACTGATCCAAATGAGAGAGATGCACTGAAAACCACTCCATCAACAAAGTCAGTAGAAAGAGTATTGGTTTTCAACTGCTCTGGTTCTGTTGCGTGAACCTTCACTTTCATGGTAATCTTCTGTGCCAACAGCAGCCGAATCAAACAACCGCTCTGTGCTGTTACTTCGGCTTCGGGCGTTCAGAGTCCCTTCCATCCTATGGTAAAGTGAATGGCTGGCTGAGGAAGAAGAGGAAGAGGTAGTGCCCTCTGAGGGAGATGCTGGCTGGAAAGTGACCGGAACAAAGCTGGAAAAGTAATGTTGAGACTGGAGGTCATTTCTGCAAGCAGGCTGCTGGGAAGCTACTGCTGGAGATTGAGTGAGCTCTGAATGGAAGAAGAAAGAAAAAGGCTATTGAATCTAGCTTTTCTGTTCTATGAATATTCCAACTACTACATACTTTTCCAACATTTACAATTGGCTACATTTTCATATGAATTGTTTCATTTATTTCTATTAGTTTTTATACTATGGTTTCTTTTCTAATGTCACCTTGAATTTATTTATTTATTTACATAGGTCCCTACTCCTTAAAACTAAATAATCTAATATCCAGTTTAATAGAAAAAGAACTTTAAATTTAAATGCACTAACATTCTTTAAGCAAGAACACAATTACTTGCTGGGTTTACCCAGCAAACTTCAAGTAAATAAAGGATACTATATTAACAATGAATGTTATCGTTTCTTTCCATCCACAGTGGGATTTCATTGCAATATTAAAACCTACAAATGAAATAATACATTTGAATTAGATGCCAATAAAAAGTAAAAGAAGGATTAGATACCAATGAAATACAAAGCAATATTAATTAAGCAAGTTCATTAAAATTGAGATAAATTGTTTTTGTGTTTTGAGTTCAATATTTTGATATATTGCAGTATGCAAATCTCCTCTCAAGGCTTTTAATACTTACCAACTCCCCTTTTGCTAACATTTTTAGTAAAACAAATAAAAACTAAGTTTTTTAATTGGCTAAAGTTTAAAAAATGAGGGGAGAAGGGACTTATTAAAAATGGATGGAATTTATTTATACCATGTTTATAAGGGGCATGGTGGCCTAGTGGTTAAGATGCTGGACTGTCGACTGGAAAGTGGGCAGGGTGAATTCCTGTTCCTGCCCCAGCTCCTGCCAACCTAGCAGTTCGAAAGCATGCAAATATAAGTAGATAAATAGGTATCACTTCAGTGGGAAGGTAACAGTATTCCGTGTGCCTTGGCGTATAGTCATGCCAGCCACATGTCCACAGAAGTGTCTTTGGACAACGATGGCTCCCTTTGGCTGGGAAATGGTGATGAGCACTGCATCCTAGATTCGGACATGATTGGGCAGGGGAAACCTTTACCATCTTTATAAATTACTCCAATCATTTACAGTTTTGGACAACAAACAATGATAAAACGGGACCGCCTTCTGCCGCCGATAGCCTCCCACCGGCCAGTACGCTCCCACAGAGAGGGACTCCTCAGGGTGCCGTCAGCTAGGCAGTGTCGGCTGGCGACACCCAGGGGGAGTGCCTTCTCTGTGGCAGCACCTGCCCTCTGGAACGACCTGCCCCAGGAGATACGTAGGATACCAGATCTCCAGGCTTTTCGCCGTGCCCTAAAAACCTTTCTTTTTCACCAAGCAGTGCTGGCGTAACCCCCCCCCCCTTTTTGAGATGTTAAGATTTTTAATTGTCTATGGGTTTTAGTCGGGATTTTAAATTTAGGCCAAAGTTGTGTAATTCTTTTAACAAATTTTAAGTTTTGTATTGGGATGTTTTTATTTTGGCTGTGCACCGCCCTGAGTCCAGTAGGAGAAGGGCGGTATACAAATTTAATAAAATAAATAAATAAATAAATAAAACAACGAAGCACAACAAAGAACATAGTCAACCACACAATAAATAAGAAGGCCTTAGGTGCCCATAATGAAAGCACACTGGAGTAGTAAAGCTGTAATAGCCTTGCAAAAATCAAAGAAGGAAGCTGCCAAGGATACCTGCTGCCTAACCATTCACCCTGTACTTCATGCCTCAGTTGGCCCTCAGATGTTCAAACTGGATGGGCAGATTTGATCCTAGCAAAGTGGTGCCTGATATAAACATAAAGGTTTCCCCTGTCCAGTTGTCATGTCTGACTCTAGGAGGCGGTCCTCATCTCCATTTCTAAGCTGAGGGAGCTAGCATTGTCTGAAGCACTTCTGTAGTCATGTGGCTAGCATGACTATACACTGAAGTGGCACCTATTTATCTACTTGTGTTTGCATGTTTTTGAATTGCTAGGTGGGCAGAAGCTGGGGCAAGAACTGAGCTCACTCCATCACACAGTGCTCATGTTTCAAACCTGGCTGTCAGCTTTCCAGCTGACAAGCTCAGTGTCTTTAACAGCTGAGCCATCGTGCTCTGATATACTCTGGTACTACACTGTTTAGGGCTTTATAGGTGGTAATCAGCAGTTTGAACCAGGCCTAAAAAACAACTAGCAACCAATGCGGTGATCTTCGAATTAGCATATTCTGCAATGGAAGAATAGTTTCACCAGGTATCAGATAGCCCCATTCTGTATCAGCTGCAGTTTTCAAATTATCTCCAAAGTCAATCCCACGGAGAGTATGTTACAGTAAACCAGCCAAGGAGTTATCACAACATGTTTTGATCTTAAGTAGAAAAATGTTAAAATATGGATGTCGTCTGCTTACGGAGTAATTATTTGACTTGTTTAACATGCATGTGAAAACTGCATCTGTCCCTGATGATTGAAAGAAGGCCATTATTGTTTTCTTTACAATGGAAAAATGACAAGTGAAGTTGCATGTAATTGCAATACGGGTGTTTGGCAATCAGCTCACATTTACAATCAGTTGCAGCTTCCTGCAGTCATGTGACTGTGATTTGTGACCTTCCCAGCTGTTTTCCAACAAGCAGTGTCAATTGAGGAAGTCTGATTTGTTTAATAATCATGTGATTCACTTAATAATGATGGTAAAAATGGTCATACTAAAATGAATATTAATACGTGTGTGCATGCATGCATGCATGCTGTGAAATAATTTTCAAATAAAGGATAAACCCTTTTGAATATTTCTTCATTCAGTAAAAGTTACATTTCCATCCACTGATCAAGTTTTTATCTTTTGCAGAAGAATATGAATAATCCTCAAGTATTTGAGAAGTACTGCATGGTTTTATTCTTTGTTTTGCCCAGTTATAAGATAAAATTGCAAACGTGAGAACTTAACTCACCCGGCAGTGTACTCTGGGCCATTACATAGCTGCGGAGGGTTATGTCAGCAGAACCACCTGACTCCAGTGGGATGGGATGCATATGAAAATGCCGCAGCATATCAAAAATACTCTGGAACCAAAGATGTTGGACGTGGCACTGACCATTTTCATTTAAGGACAAACGCAGGTGCTGAAAAGAAATCATTTTTTTAAATTGACTAGTTACCATAGTCCCTGTTCTAAGCATTTGAGAATTATTTTAACACATGAAATACCAGAGACGGATGCCCCCAAATAACCTTTGAGCAGTTTTATCCTTACCATTTCCTTTATAATCCTATTCCTACAATAATCATAAAGTTGGACTATCTATTTAGGCCAGAGTTCTCCAACCTTTCCAGCTTTGCAGACTGGCAGGAGAGGAGAGGGTTGATGGGTGTGCATATGCTCGCCTGCTGCTTGTGCAATTGGGGATGTGCGCAGCCCAGTTTGGAATGGCTCAAGGACCAGGCGTTGGACACCTTTGATTTAGGCAATCAAATTCAACTCCTACTCAGTACAGGAGTAAAACTTTTCAGACAGATGGCTATTCAGCTTCTGCTTGAATGAATCCTGTAAAAGGGAGCCTTGCTCCCTCTCAATAGGTTATTTACTTTTACCTATATGCCATGGGAGGGAGGGAGGTTTGCCCAAACACGTCTCTCTTTCCTTTCTTGCATTTCTTTGGAAATGCAGCAGTGCTGTGCCACAAGGTGCAGTTTAAGCTTGTTTTGTTTGGTGATGGTGATAAAAAGAACATTTGTGAAATGCCACTTGACTGGTGAATTTGAAAAAAATTAGGAAGCTACTCTGGGAATTGAAGTTCATCCTCTGGTGTTCCACACTAACAGAAATTTAATGTATGGGACACAGTTGATCAATAATTTACATTTCATGTATGAGACACAGTTGGTCAATAAAAGTTTGGAGTATTATGGGATGGTTACTACATTCAAGCTCAATGTAACATCGTAATGTTCACTATGTAACATCAAGAGTTACATACAAGAACGTACTCCACTATTATACCCTTCTTATTGTTAAAAAATTTTTAAATGTTAAATAGGAATCTGCCTGCCTGTACTTTAATGCTCATATTCCATGTTTTGCACTTGGGATGCTAGAGAAGAGTCATGGACTATTCAGGCTATCAGATCCTTTTCAACCCTATTTTTTTCAAAGCTAGAAATAAACCAAGTAGGCTCAATCTCTCGCTGTACCACTTAGTTTCCAGTCCTCTGATCATTTGTCTGAATTATTATTTAGTGCTATGCACACAAATGAGCATAATACTGAAGGTCGCATATGGCTAATGGAGCATAAAGTGGAATTATTAATTCCCATGATTAGGAAACAATATCTCTGTTGGTGCAATCTAACTTGCCTTTGCCTTTTTAGTAATCATATCATACTACTGACTTGTATTCAGTTTATCATCAGCTACTAGTCCAGTATCTTTTTCACAAGTATTGCCAGGCAAATATCCTTCATTCTATACTTCTGAATTTGACTTTGGTGGCATTCGAGGAGGATGGAGGCACTACTTTATGTATAGGAACATCACCAACTGCAGATAAGAAGTACGGTAATACTGTTTACTTTCTTCCAATTAGCAGCAGGTAAAGGTAATTGCACTTGCTTCTTTCTATTGTACTCAGCTTCCAGCACCTTGTGTCAGCACCTTCCGGTCTAGGGATGTGAACAGAATAATGGGGGTATCTGTTGCCTCTCTCCATGCAGTGCACTCAGAATTGTGACTCAGGTAGTTACAGAGGGGGCAATAATAATTATAAGCTAAAAGTAAATCTTTGTAACATGGCAACAGCTTGTTTCCAGTTTTAGCTGGGAGAAATAAAAGGTGTCACAGGAAGCATAAGATTGGCAGATATAGATCCAATATACTGGATTAGAAGAATGAATCTGTTTACAGCACCAGTCAAAGAAGAGACGCCAAATGTATAAAGGGCTGCTATTTTAAAACATTTTTTAAAATTCCAGATGGCAGCAAAAGAAAAGAACAAGAGAAAGCTCGGTCTGTGTTGCTCTACTTATCTCATAGTTCTGGCATATGGATACAAAAATTACCAGCATTGTATCTGTTCTGTGCACGCACAAATATACAATCACAAAGAGTTGTTGCCAGAGCACAGGTTTCAAACTCCACTGTATTTTAAGACAAATTATGTCAATCCTATCATCTCCCCTTTCCTGTAGAAATGAATAAACTACACATACCTGGTTCCCAGATTAAACTTTTGGTTGAGTTTGTAGACTATGTTAAGCTAAAATCAAACAAACCACGATATGTGATCTTAGTATCTTGCCAATTTTCTTTCAATTGGCAATCAAGAAACATTGCACTCAGGTCAAAGTAGCTGGTGGTTTCTAAGTTTTTTTTTACTTATTTTATAACTGTATTCAGGCTTGCTGCCATGCTCCACTAAGGCCCTTTGAACAGATGGCTTAATTTTCAAGGTGGATTAAAAATTAAGGGAAACGTGTCCGCATATTTCCTGTGGTTTCACTTTAAATACTAGGAGAAAACAAGAGTTATTCATTCATAAATAGATCACTTGCCTTGGCTTTTCCCTGGAAGTTAAAGGTCAGCACATATTCACCAGGCCGTGTTTCGCTCTGCCGAATGACAAATAATCCATGGCTTTTGACTCCACCAAACAGTACTAGCTGGGCTGCTTTAACCCGCGATAGTGTCCCGTGGAACCAAGGGAACTCCAAGAGATTGATTTCTGCTTCCAGCTCATTTTCATCTCCTGTCACAGTAAGGAAACAGGAACAATAAAATACAAAACCTCAGTGCCTTACATTCAACGTAGCATTACATTCATTGCAATGCTATCAGGGGTGAAATCCAGCAGGTTCTGACAGATTCTGGGGAACCGGTAGCGGAAATTTTGAGTAGTTTGGAGAACTGGCAAAAATATCACCTCTGGCTGGCCCCCGAGTGGGGTGGGAATGGGGATTTTGCAGTATCCTTCCCCTGGCGTGGGGTGGGAATGGGGATTTTGCAGTATCCTTCCCCTGCCACACCCAAGCCACGTCCACGCCAACCAAGCCACGTCTACAGAACCGGTAGTAAAAAAAATTGGATTTCACCACTGATCTGGATGGATGTTTGATCAGAGGATGCAGGAGAAATTATTGTAGATTTTTCCACTTATCAAAACCAATATATGTTTGTACCTGAATGCTCTTTCAGCAAGAGATATGGTTAATTTTATCTTTTCAGCAAATCGAAAGTGTCTGTACATTACAATGCATACTTTTCTACTTCATGGATCAGAATTAAAATAGAATAGAACTGGAAGGGACCTTGGAGATCATTTAGTCCAGCCCCCTGCTCAAGCAGGAGAACCTATACTATTTTAGATAAGTGGCTGTCTAGTTTCTTCTTAAAAACCTCCAGTGATGGAGCATCCACAATTTCTGATGGCAAGCTGTTCCACTGGTTAATTGTCCTCATTGTTAGGAAGTTTCTCCTTAATTCCAGGTTGTTTCTCTCTTTGTTTAGTTTCCCACCATTGTTTGTTGTCCTGCCCTCTGATGCTTTGTAGAATAATTTGACCTCCCTCTTCTTTGTGGCAGTCCCTCAAATACTGGAATACTGGATCAAATTATTTAGAAGTACACATAATAACTCTGGAATATAAATGAATGCACTTTATATTTGGAAGAGCTAATGAGAGAGCCAGTAGGAGCTTGGTTGTGGAACACAGCAGGAGAAAAGGGGGAAAGACCAAATAACTGCTTTTTTCTGGTATGTGTGCTTTGCTGTGTGGAATGAAAAGATTATCTCCTGCATAATTGGTAATGACAAAGGTATGTCCAGAGAACTGTTGATAGTTCATTGTGGATGACCCGAGTGAAAGTCACTCAATAAGCAGAGGCAGCCCATTTTCAAACAATGAACAAACAGAAAGTTAACAGGAATTTGACAGGAGAGCTTAAGAGGAACTTTCCTAACATATTTTTTCCCAAGTGGTCAGTAGGTATTCAACTAACCTGAGACTGGAACAAGAAGAAATAAAAAACTTTTGTCAAGTGCAGGAAAATCAGGAAGTCCAGGCGTTTTAAAATGAATATAAAGGTTTATTGCAAGCTCATGCTCTTTACAAGAATCTGAACTATTAAAAGCAAATTGGTGGTAGATAAGAGTCAAAGGAATTCAAGTCCAATTCTGGACTTAGATCTCTTGTGGGTGCGAAGTTGAAACTGATGACAAATCTGACCCATCCCTGAGGCTCAACCTGGTCATCTCCCTACATCTTTCTACCTGAAGACTTTAAGAAACAGAAATAAAGAGAATGGACATACTCCACAATCATGCCTGAAATATGTGTGCCTAAAAATGATGTTTTTTACATATGCAGCAAGCTTGCAGCTGTGCACAAATAAATAGCACAGGGATTGCAGCAGGTAGTGGCAACGCTTCAACTCATAAGAAAGGACCAAAATTTATTACAAAAATAATTGACAGAGGAAACATCCCTTTATAAAGAAAAACTGAACAAAGAAGCAAAATGGGAGTAACAACTGGAAATACAAAGAAGATATTCTGCACCACTGAATGTAAAAAATAACTCTGAGGCCTTTGCAGAAAACAAACAAGTTTGAAGTCTTCAATGACAGAAAAAATGATGCTCTTGAATAGAGGATGTATCTGTGTAATTGTAGCTTGCAAGAAGACACAGAAAAGTCTTCGTAGTTGGTAACTTACAACTACATGGAACAAACATGCTGACTGATTTAATCAGCTCATAGAAGGCACTGTCTGCCAGAATCAGAGATTAACTGTTATAGAATTACCCTTAAATCTTATCAATTCCACTGACAATTATCTTCTGTAACTTGACTCTGAGTTTTCTGAACAAAAAACTACTGGCAGGAGATGGTTATACCTCATGAAGACTGTGCAGATGGTGTTGGCCAAAGCACATTAAACTTGATTAAGAGGGATTTAAACTGATTCTTGTGAGGATTGAAGATAAAACTCCTGAAGTAAGGACATTGGATAATGATTCTGGCACTGTAAAATGAAGTGAGAATTTTCCCTATTAGCCCATTTAGTGAAAAATCTCAAGAAACATTGTATTGGCTCATAAATGTAATCATTTTCAGTGTCTGTACATTGTTACCATATGGGAAATAAACAAGATGAGCCCAAACTCATAGCACAGGAAGTAAGAATGATTTAATATACATCATTTGTTGCAATGGAATGTATGGATGACCTTGGGGAATGAAGGGAAGAGATGCTGCCTAGGAAACAATCAGACAAGAGATGCAAGAGCCCCCAACGGGTTAACAATCAGAAAAAGAAATTTAGGAAGGACATGCCCTAATGGATCAAGCAGTTAAAAGCGGCAGTGATTTGCAAGATTCTGATAATGTAGCCTTACAACAAAGTAGAATTAGATCATTTAATCCTGGTTTACCTGGGAGGGTAACATTTGTTGATGTAGCAATTGAAGAACACAATTTATTTAAAAGAAAACAGTATTCCAATTCCCAGCGCTAAAAAAAATTGTGAATAGATTAGAAAGATGAAACTACTAAACTTTTATTGGAGCTCAGTCTTCTCCAGCGTACAGTTATAAAAAATTGTGAAGAGCAGGATCAAAAAACTGAGATGGATAAATCTTTTTATGAAAAGGTTTGTCTGAAAAATTATGGAGAATGAGTGAAATGCCAAATGAATAGAGAAGGGCAATTTTTCTGTTATTAAAAAGAGCAAAAAAAAAAAAATTAATCCACGAAATCACAGAGCACTCAAAAACCTAGGAAACCACTAGACCAAATATAGGTATGTCAGTGTATTCATGACTGGCAGAGACATGGTAACAAGGTCAGCCAATGAATAGGGCTTAGTAACAAGGTCAGCTAATGGGAGCCGAGACAGCAAGAAGCCTGGGCATGGCTTAGCTGTGCTTAGCTCTGAGTGCTGTGCTGAGAACTGAAACTGAAACTAGTCTGTTCTCTGAATTGAAACTGAAATTGTTCTCTCCTCTGCCTGTGTTTTGCCTGTAACTACTATCACGTTGGAAAATCTGCTTTTGGTATTATATATTTACTTATGTGTTACGTATATAAAGAGAAGTTAATGAACTGCTGAATCAGTTACCTGTATGTGCTTTCTGGATTTGATTACTGTTGCAAACTCTGACAAGGTAGTTCTCGATTTACAACAGTTCATTTAGTGACCATTCAAAGTTACAACATCACTGAAAAAAGTGACTTATGACCATTTTTCGCACTTCCGACCATTGCAGCATCCTCATGGTGATCAAAATTCAGAATGCCTGGCAACTGACTCATGTTTATGCTGGTTGTAGTGTCCCAGTGTCATGTGATCATCTTTTATGATCTTCTGACAAGGAAAGGCAACGAGGAAGCCAGATTCATTTGACAACTGTGCTACTAACAACTGCAGTGATTCAGTTATCAACTGTGACAAGAAAAGTCGTAAAACGAGGCAAAACTCACTTAACAAATGTCTAGCTTAGCAACAGAAATTTGGGCTCAATGGTGGCCATAAGTTGAGGACTTCCAGTAATAAATGATTAAATTCTGAGCACCTAAAGAAATAAAGAGGTGCTTACCAGAAGACTGCATGGACTTATGAAAAACAAATCTTATTATGTTATTTGTATCTTATATTTGCTTAATATATTTGCTTAAGATCCCCTACAGCAGATGTCTTCAAACTTGGCCGCTTTAAGACTTGTGGACTTCAATTCTCAGGCCAAGTTTGAAGACCTCTGCCCTACAGGAACGCTATGGACAAAAACCTTGATTTCAGGGAGACACCTGACAATGATATTCAGTTCAACATGGAATGAATGAAATGTCTATAAGATGTTTTTACAACCAGTTCAAAAATTACAAAGTGTCATCAGACTGGAAGAAAGTAGAGTGCCATTTGATTCACTTCTACAGTTTGTACTCTTCAACATTTTTATTAATGACTAGAATGAAAAGATGGAGAGAATGCTTATCAAATTTGAAAATGACACCAAATTGGGTAAGATAGATAATATAACCGGAGACAAAAATACTGTGTTTCCCTGAAAATAAGACAGGGCGGAGAAGCGAGAAGTGAGACACGTGTCTTACCTGACTTCCAGCTCCTGCCATGCCCGGCAAGGGGGGAGAAGAGATGGCAAGGGGAGCCCTATCTCGCTCCATGCTTCTTGCTTCTCCACCGCTCCACCCCTCCCCACCTGCCACTCCCTCTCGCCGGCCAAGATTGGCAAGCCAGATTTGGGGAGCTGAACGCATTGCTGCCACCCGGGAGGAGAAGAACATCAGAAATGGGCTCTCTCGCAGCTCCCGAGTGGCAGCGGTGCATCCGACTCACCAAATCTGGCTTGCCAATCTAGGGCGGCAGTGACAGCAGCTCTGACCTGATCCTCCCCAGCAATTCTGTGGGCAAGAATTGGCCACACCAATCCTGCTTCATGGCTGCACAGACAGCCCACACCAGCCACTGCTCAGAGCTCCGGCGCCAGTCCCCCTTCCCCCAGTTCCAGGTTGACAGGGTTAGGGCTGGCAAGGTTTTTTTTGCGGCTGCTCTTTGCGGCCACCACTAAGATAAGGGGCGCGCGAACTAGGGTTTGCGGGAGCGGCCTCCGTGAGACTGTGCCACGTGGATGGCAGGTGCGTGTGGGGTGCGTGGGGCATGTTCCCCCTCCCTTTCCCCCCTTCTCCAGCCTCTCCTCCTCACGTTGTGTTGTTTGTGTGGCAGTTGTGCATGCGTCTAAGTATTTTGGGGGGGTATTTTCGGGGCATCTTATTTTAGCGCATGCGCTCGAAAGCCCAATTAGGCTTATTATCCAGACAGGTCCTAGTTTCGGGGAAACACTGTAATATTCAAATAAACTTTCTAGCCATTTGAAAAGTTCAATAGTGCCTGAAGAGATTATGAAATTATCTTCACAGGATATCATCATATGGACATTACACAATTGTTAGGCATCACACTGGGCCAGCTCTCCAGATATTTAACTACATAAGGCATATAAGATTCTGTACTCCATGATTTTCATTCTTGACTTTTTCCTCCTAACTTCTTGCCTATTCTCTTGATAGCCTTGGTTGACAATGTTTCTCTCTAGCCTGAGAATTATAGTATTCTACATTACCAACTTTATTCATTACAAATGCCAATTTGTCAATATGTTTTTATTTAATTTTATATTTCTTTACTATACAGAACAGAAGTTGCATTTGGTTTAAGTAAGCTATCCAATCCTATGAATCTGTCATTCTAGACTATTTTCCCATCTAGCTCATTATTACAACCTAGTCTCACTTAGCAGCCACTTCAGGATTTCAAACTGTTCCTAGTTGATTTGTCATAAATAATTGGAACAACATTGAAACTGCAAAGAATGTGAGAAAATAATGGGTGTTAATAACAAAACAAAACTTTAGCAAAATTGTTATTTGTTGACATGCATGATTCAATACTTTGTAAGGTATACACTGTTATCAATATATCTAAAAAGAAGCAGAAACATACTTTTTGGATGGGAGAATGAACAGCTGATCTTTTCTAAGCTGTGAAAAACGTAAACTCCAGATCATCTGAGGAACAAAACTACTATACCTGCTGTGTGACTGCTATTGGCTGGAGACTCCAGTGTTTGCAGGAAGTTCTCTAATGGCACATGCGCTCTATATTCCCCTGCAGAGATCCTGCCATGTGGTGCTGTTACAATTGTGGTAGCATTTGATATGCTATCTGAGGCAGTTGAGCCAACACATCTATCCTGGCATCGGGTCACATCTGGAAAATAATTTTATTTCTTTTTTTAAAAAATCCATGCTGCTTTTCCAAACCACATTTTCCTATGACAGAGGACTTATAGACTCAAGGCTGTCAATTGCTTCAAATCATTCATCATTCATCCTTGGCATCATTCAGTCTCAAGAGACAATGGTATCGTTAATCGAATGATATTTGATTGATACCAATTATTATTACTTTCATTATTCATTATTACATCATTATTACTTTCATTACATTTTTTTTCCAAGGTACTCTTTCAGATCCTTGAGATACCTGTTGAACCAGGGATTTACAAGACAAAAAAAAGTTTATGGATGCCCCAGGCTTTTTGATAACACTTGCATTCTGCTATAGTAAAAATTAATGCCTCCAGTTGGAGATTGGCAAAGTTCAAGTATGTGTGAGGACCTGAAAATTAAACTTTAACCAAAACCAGTGTTTAAACAGAATAGAATAGAATAAAATAGAATAACAGAGTTGGAAGGGACCTTGGAGGTCTTCTAGTCCAACCCCCTGCTTAGGCAGGAAACCCTACACCTCTTCAGACAAATGGTTATCCAACCTCTTCTTAAAAACTTCCAGCGTTGGAGCATTCACAACTTCTGGAGGCAAGTTAGGTAGGTAAATTGAGGACCCAGTTTGTGGGGGCAATAAGCTGACTTTGTATAAATATACAAAAGTATGAAGGCAGGGCCGGATTTAGATGAAAAGAGGCCCTAGGCTATTCCACTTATGAGGCCCTTTCACCTATAGTGAAAGTGTAATTTTAATTTTGCTAACAATTTGAATGTAGGGAATGTAGGCCCCTCTTGATCTTGAGGCCCTAAGCTGAAGCCTAGTTAGCCTATAGGAAAATCCGGCCCTGTATGAAGGCTATTGCTTAACGCATTGTAAGCCGCCCTGAGTCTTCGGAGAAGGGCGGCATATAAATCAATTTTTTTAAAAAAAAGTTGTTCCACTGGTTAATTGTTCTGTCAGGAAATTTTTCCTTAGTTCTAGGTTGCTTCTCTCCTTGACTAGTTTCTACCCACTGCTTCTTATCCTGCCCTCAGGTGCTTTGGAGAATAGCTTGACTCCCTCTTCTTTGTGGCAGCCCTTGAGATATTGGAACACTGCTATCATGTCTCCCCTAGTCCTTCTTTTCATTAAACTAGATATACCCAGTTCCTGCAACCGTTCTTCATATGTCTTAGCCTCCAGTCCCCTAATTATCTTTATTGCTCTTCTCTGTACTTTTTCTAGAGTCTCAACATTTGTTTACATTGTGGTGACCAAGTGTGGCCTTACCAAGGAATTATAAAGTGATATTAACATTTCATGTGATCTTGATTCTAACCCTCTGTTTATGCATCTTAGAACTGTGTTGGCTTTTTTGGCAGCTGCTGCACACTGCTGGCTCATATTTAAATGGTTGTCCACTAGAACTCCAAGATCCCTCTCACAGTTACTACTACTGAGCAAGGTACCACAGGTCTGAACTAATTTTTAAGACAATCCTTTAAAAAAAATCTTATTACCATCAGCCAGGAACTCACAGCTACAAGATGACACTCTGCTTGGCAGGCAAGCTCCTTGGGTACAGGAAGAGAGTTCAATGTCATCACCACTGTCCCTGGAAAGAAGAGAAGAGTGGGCGTTTGGACAGTGGATGGTGCTGCACCAGTGAGTTTCTGCAGCTGTATGCTGAACACTGGAAGGAAGGGTAGAGCAGAGGAGGGGATGCAAAGTTATCAATCACCAACTGGAGAGGATTCCCATAAAATATGTATTTTGTAATCTTACTAAAGATCCAGAAATGGTAACCTTTTGAATACTGCTACATCTGTTCAGAGCTGCATATGGGAAAGCTCCCCATTGTCTTCTTATTTTCATGCACTAACTCATCCTCACCCCATAAATCAGGACTGTAAGAGGGGAGGCTAACCCTTCCCAAACCTGCAGGAATATTATCTTGACTCTTATATATGGTGATGCTTATAATGGCAGGAAAAATTACTGCTTAGGGGAGACCTGATCACATAGAAAAGGGGACAGGAGAGCAGTTAAAAAGGTGTTAGCCAGGGGTGAAATCCAGCAGGTTCTAACAGGTTCTGGAGAACCAGTAGTGGAAATTTTAAGTAGTTCAGAGAACTGGCAACTACCACCTCTGGCTGACCCCAGAGTGGGGTGGGAATGGAGTTTTTGCAGTATCCTTCCACTGCCATGCCCACCAAGCCACACCCACAGAACCAGTAGGGAAAAATTTTGAATTTCACCCCTGGTGTTAGCCACTTATTTCCTTCCCTTGCTGACCCTCCTGAAAAGCTGAAATGGAGATCTGACAATATCAAAGCACTCTTCTCCCCTTTGGGAGAAATAGGTCATAGGTAGACATAAGGAAGCTTTCCCCTATAGCTTTCCCCTAACAGTTGGCAACTCAGGACACTGAGTTTCTAATCCTTTCTATGATGGCTGATAACAGTTCTGTCAAATTGGAATAAAAGTTTATCATTCTGTCTCTCAGAATTTTAACCACGTGGCTCAAGGGAAAAATCAGCTTTTAGGTCATAGATGGGCCATTTTTGGCCCCTGAACTTTAGTGAATCTTAACTCTTACTGCAAAGCCTCCTCTGACTGTAACTACTGAAAACCAATGCCACAATTCCCCACTCACTCTGAGACAGCAAACTAATGAATACTATACAATACAGGTACATTTTAAAAGACAGCATAACACTGTGACAAAGAAAACTCCCAATGGGCACAGACAGAAGTAAAAATATACTAGCAGTGTGTTTCCTTTTTCAGTATAGAACACTCTAAATAAACTAGTATTTAGAGATCAGCTTCTTCAGAGGCTTGATAAGAGCAGAAAGAACTAGCTGCTGGCTCTCCATATGAAAACACTGTTATGTTTGCCTTTCAGCCAATCAACACAGGTTTTATGTCATTGCATCAGATAATCACTATTGATTGAAACTACAGCAGAACTGCCTAACTGCTTGTCTTTTTATGTTTTGTTAAATGCTGTGAAGTGAATGGGAGAACTTTTGTATAGGGTTCCCAGATCTAGGCTGTGTATCTGGACAAATGGCTTGATGGCTGAGAAGAGAGTGTCCTGTAATTCTCTGCTGCCTTCTAGTGGTGGTGCAGATACAGTAGCCTTAGTAGACTTAACTAGTTCAGAACTATAGAATTCACAAAAGAAAGGCAGGAGCTTACCCCAACTTTTACACAGATGAAGGAAGCAATAAGTCCTTTCTACTTGCAAAATACATATTTTGCTGCAGTAATTCTTTTATCTTTGGATTCCAATTTTTAAGAAATAAATGGGAATATTTAATTTTTAAAAAGTTAAATGGGCAGCTAGCAAACAGCCAAGCCAAGTGCCATTGTTCATATTTTGAGGAAGTTTCCGCACCCCATAAAGTGACAAAACAACAATTCTAGCTAGATATAGCCTACAATTTTATTTCAAAAGCTATCCACCTGCTCAGAGAAAAAGACAAAAATAATATGGGAATAGTAAAAAAGCAGAATGGGAGCTAATAAGAGTCCTGAGAAGATACCTCAATAGTTTGCCTTCTCATCAATGAGTATTTTGGGACTGCCACACCCACATGTGTTCCTTCTGCAAATAAGTAGGTCCTCTCTGAAAGCCATTTTTGATTACACCTGTTGCACCCTCTCAATATTTCAAAATGTGCCTAAATGGCCAAAAAAAGTTTCTACTCTTCTTCTGCAGGTTTATTTTATCAAAAAAGGCTTTACAAATGAGAATAAATACTTAAATATCCCCAGGACACTGCAAACCAGCACCCATTTAAAATGGTTAACAAAGGGTTTGTTTGCTAAATACTCAACAGCCACCAAATATAAGGCTTTTTCTATTTGGGAGAAAAATTTGCAAAGAAGGAGTTAGGAAAGAGTATTTGAGCTCAATAAATCCATCATAGTGTGGCAGCAATGCACAATTTTTTTTTTTTTTTGATGAACAGGTGCTTACATGCCAGATCTTCCAAGGTAATGACTAAGAGGAATTGCTCTGACCTAGTTCTTAAAACCAGATAAATGTAAGCAATACAGAAGATAACTTGGTAAGGAAATCCTCGGATAGCAGGGTACTGCTAATCATTAGATATTCTCGTTTCCACGCACAGCTATTCTAGCAACACTTGTTAAGCATGCTCAATATCAGATCACCATGATGTCTTACCCAGGATCTATGCAGTCTTGTATATCCGCCACCCAGGAATGTTTCTGCAACGAATCTATCGTTTCAAGGATATATTCAGCACCATTTTCTACCTAGATGGAAAATATATTTTATTTATTTATTTATTTATTTTATTTTCGTCAAGCAAGTATTTTATGACAGATACAAGTGTAAACATAATTATAAATACAAGAAAAGGATATGAATAAAAGAAAACATTAGGACAGGGATGGTAGGCAGGCTGATGTGCTTATGCACACCCCTTACATACCTCTTAGGAATGGGGTGAGGTCTACAGTAGACAGTCTAAGGTTAAAGTTTTGGGGATTTGGGGAAGAAACCAGAGTCAGGTAGTGCATTCCAGGCGTTGACAACTCTGTTACTGAAGTCGTATTTTCTGCAGTCTAGTTTGGATTGGTTTACCATGAGTTTGTATCTATTGTGTGCTCTTGTATTGTTTCGGTTGTAGCTGAAGTATTCATTGGCTGGTAGGACATTGTAGCAGATGATTTTATGTATTATGCTTAGGTCGGACTGTTGTCTAAGCCCAAAATTTCGAGTCTGGTGGCATAAGGTATTTTGTTGTGAGCAGAGGAGTGGAGCACTCTTCTTGTGAAATATCTCTGGACTCACTCGATCGTATTAATGTCCGATATGCAGTGCGGGTTCCAGACAGATGAGCTGTATTCAAGAATTGGTCTGGCAAAAGTTTTGTATACCCTAGTTTGCAGTTCAATATTACCAGAGAAGAAGCTATGCAAGATTAGGTTAACAACTCTTAATGCTTTTTTAGCAATGCTGTTACAGTGAGCTCTGGCATTTAGATCATTTGAGATGATATGAACATGCTGACCTTACAGAGAGCTATTGTTTTGGATACTTTTAGTGCAAAACGCACTATTTCCTCACAACAGCCCAGCTGCACAAAGATTTGGAGTAGGTCACTGAATTCACACCTAATTCTAAATTACAAATAAGCAAAGCAAATTATGTCTAATTATGAAGTGGGAGCCTTTCATAGAAAAATCTGACCTTACGGAGGTGCAAACAAACAGGAAATTCTGCTACAGAATTTCTGCTATTTGACAGCTGCTTGGGTGAGGGGACTTTCTGTTGGATTGTGCAGACATCTTGGTGGAAAATAAGATAGTTACTTGTGTGTATTAAAGGCATCAACAGAGTTGGAGTAGCTAAGCAAGCAGCAGAAAGATAGCATAAAACTAGAATCCTAGCTCCCAACATTTGATCCTATAGCAAAAGAGATTTTTAATATAGTACCTCCTCCTTTCCATCTAGTCTGGGATAAAATCTATTACCAGCTCAACCCCAATAAGAGAAGAACTATAAAATCTGTGCTGAATGATTCCTGACTATCATTGGGTAACAGTAAAGAAATGCAGAAAATAGATAGAAAATCATCTACCTGTTCCCTAATTTTCGTTTTCAGTTCAGAAGTTCTTAGTCTCTTTTCAAGAGATACAACAATTGTTTTGCTGGGTTGGCCCAATTTTAGCTCAAATATAGTGCCACCTTATAGGGGAGATGGGTGGCATAAAAATTTAATAAATAAATTTTATTTTACACTAAAATAAGATAATTACATTTCTATTCAGATTTTGTTCAAAGTAATATACAACTATCCAAGTTCATTGCAGAATGACACTGTGAGGGGGCTGAGTTATGAGGTAGGTTACTTATTCAATGAGCTTTATTGGATTTGAATCTGGGCTGTCTTTAACAACTACCTGCTACCTTGTTGAACAGAACAGTATTTCTCAACCTCAGCAACTCAGGTGAAGCCTACACATTTTAAAATGGCTGAGGTTGAGAAATACTGAGCCATAAGAGATGGTAAAATAGCATGTACTATTCTGAATTGCAAATGAAAGAACACTTGTGAAAGCTCCCTAATGCTAGAAATTCTTTGCAAACAGAAAGACAATTAGCAGGCAAAGAAGTATGTTAGTACATGTAGTGCTAACTTTCTTTTGACAGGGTGCTCTTCTACAGACACTTAGAGAGGATTTACAACTGAACCTGGAGATTTCAGCATAGCTAATATATAGTTACTTGATAAAGGCTGTAAAAATACAATCTCCAGATGGCAAGAATGGGTTATAGTTTTAGATATCTCTTTGCTTTCTTGCAATGATCATTCAGATTTTTGCAGCCAGATACGATGGCCAAAACTGAGAGAAACTAGGAACTATTAACATGTCCATTCAGCTTTCTTCTCATAGAGACTAAATTTATCCATTGCTTTCTATTTTATAAGCTTCCGGTAAACATGGACAAAACAAAAAATATGAAAAATATTTTCATATTCAGTAGCAATGAAGTCCTCAAGTTAATTAATGCATCAGTTCCAGAAGAACTGTTTGCTTGGATCAGTGTCAATGTTAATTTTACTACTGAGGGCTGAATTAAGTGATGCTGTTTGTCCTTTACAACTCTGCAGAATTAAAAACAAATAAATCACCAGTGCAGGAACTGGATGTACAGTGAAATCAATGCCCCCTTTCCTGCATGCCCAGTCTGGCTTCCGCTCATCTATTTTATGACAATAACACAAATAATTATTTAAATTATGTTATGTTTTACTTTGAATTTTAGCAGACTCAAATCAATTGATAAAAGGAGCAGAGGAGGAAAGACTAACTTTTCAGACACCAAAGATAAGCCGGTATGAATTAGGATGGATAGATGTGATAGATGAAATAAAAATATAATACTAATTTCATTTTCTGCTAGATTAGCCTTTTCCAACCTAATGCCCTCTAAATATGTTGGAACAACAGCCCCCCCAATTCCTGACCAGCAAGGAACATGGACTGGGAATTATGGAAAATATAATTCCAACATATTTGGAGGGCACTAGCTTGGGGAAGGCTCTGCCTTTTATTCTATGAACGCCAGATAATTCAGACAGACAGCAGCATAACATGTTTTTTTCAGAAGCTCCCAAACAGAAAGCAAAATTAAATCCAGCGCCCAGAGATTTCTAAAGACAAAGCAAACACCAAGGATCCTGCTCCTCACAAAAGCCCCTTTTATTCTCCCTGAATTGGGAACTGGAGCTTAGATGGAAGTTTGTTGATTTGTCAGAAAACTGCTCAGGCAGCAGCTAGGCCAGTTGCTACGGCAACAGCCAAGGCCACAGGGCATCCTTTCAGTCCCGTTAGTTCGGGGCTTATAAGGCAATGCTGCAATTTTAATGAAAAGGGGAAAGGAAAGCTCATTAAAATACATAAACTGGAAGGGCAAGAGCTGGGCAAATGCTTGAAAACAGCTCTGCATTTCCTGTTTTGAAAATTAAGCACTATTGTGATCTAGACGTAGAGATTATTCTCTACTATAAAGCTCACAACCTCTGTGTGTGTGTGTGAGAGAGAGAGAGAGAGAGAGACAGAGAGGGGGGGGGCTTTAGTAATAAGAACCAAGAGTCTTCTGGCAAGTTAAGATTAACAAATTTATCACAGCCTATGCTTTTTTGTGGATACAGTCCACATCATCCTAAGCATTAAATGTAAATTTCCTTTTCTTTTCATATGCAACCAATAGCACTTCCCCTTCCCAAAGGGCCTTGGAAATTATTGCAAAGATAAGATGCTCCAAGTTCCTTTGAATAGAAATAACAGAAAATAGGCTAAAATAAAAAAAAAACAAAAAAAACCCACCCCAAAATAAAATAAAATAGTGTTCAGAAAATAGGAAAAACCATCGGAATACATTGTATTTGGGGGCCATCTATACTTTTTTCCAAATAGAAGGTTATGGACTTTGATATATTCAGTAATCCTGTGCAAGTGCAAAAAAGTAAAGACAATCCAGAAACCCCAGAGTTTCTTCTAATCCTATGGCTGAGAAGTTTAGGCATTTTTTTCTTTGGGGAAGGGCTGAAGAGAAGTATATTTTAATCCCACCACACCCAAATCAACCAGAATCTGCAAGATGCTCTTAGTAATAGTTTGTAGAATGTGTCATTTAGAACCGTGGTCACCAAACTTTCTAGCTTTGCGGACAGCAGGGAAAGTGGGGGGAGAGGGGATGGTTCTGTGTGAGTGGCGGGCGAGTGCACAGCTCGATTTGCACGAGCAGTGGACATGCGTATCCACCGCTTGCACAAATGGAGGTGCATGTGCAAGTGGAGCTGCGTGCACATCACACTCACCCACCGTTTTCACAGCCTGATTCTGAAAAGCCCATGGCCTGGTAGTGGGCCATGGCTCAGTGGTTGGGGACCCCTGATTTAGAATACATGGAACACACCCATCCAGGATGTATTTCAGGTCATGCTGTCTTACCTTCAGCACAAAGGTGTTATCCTTGTCTGGCATCTCCAATGGCATAGTTGTGCGCACTTCAATGATAGCCGAGAGAGGGATGCTGACCTTTGCTTTGGAAGCCTGAAAGGCCAAACAGATAGAAAAAGATTTAAAGAATTTAAATTTAATGACATTGCTCTGAACCATACCCAAAGCAGTTAAAAAGAATGCAGGTGCTATACTAGCCTGTGCCATTATTCAAACATTATCACTTCCCTTGAGCCTTCCAGTAATTCCAAATACTTTTAATTAAAAACATGGTATCCAGTGGGAAATAGAAGGTAATAAATTTAATTTTCATATCTCTGCAGTGTTGTAATATGGCTTTAGCATCCATTTCTCCTTTCAAAAATAAAAAGAATTTTGATGTGGATAAACAGAATGCAATTACTTTCCATTTCTGTTTTAAAAATAATAATTAAACCAGGGCGAGCTAAGAAAGAGTCAAAGAAAGCTAAAGTAAAAGGTTTGATAAAAACAAAAAAGCCTGTTATAAATAATGTGACTGGCTCAGATGGTATACTTCCCGAGTATACACATAAATGAATTCCATGTCAAGCTCTTTGAATAATATACTTTTTAAAACAAAAGAAATGTAGGCTGCAAGTCCAAGGCACAAAAGGTTGAAGAGATTGGAGCCAAAGAGCTTCAGAAGACACAAGTAATTCTTTTCTTCTGGCAAATAGGGAGATTTTCTTAATGGGATGCTTACCAAGGGGTTTCAAATAAATGCAAAATATTTATCCAGTCTAAAAGGAAGCAATATTGCCATATTGTTCAGTACTGTAGCAGTAACTTGTAACCGTTAATAATTGTTTAAAACAGTTATGATTGCTCACTTAATTGTTTTTCTGTTCTCATGCCCAAAACAATTATGTTTCTTAATGCTGGAAATTGCCAGTTAAGTCAAATCAGCATATGAGTTAACTAGGGCAGAGGTGAAAGCCTAAGGAAAAGGGGACAGCATTCACTAAATGTTATTCTAGTTCAGTAATTTCCACCCTTTCGTGCTTTTAAGCTTCAATGAGAAATTCCATAATCCACTATGGCAGAACTGGTACAAGCATGTTGCAAGAATATGAAACTCTGAACTAACACTTCTAAAATGTTGCATTTTTTTTCTATGTTGTTCTTATTGAAATATGGGGTACACTACATCATACCTCATGCTATTTCCCCAAAGGAAGAATACAACACATCCCATTTCCCAGAAACATGTGTAGGATCAGATCTTAATCTGGAGAGAAGTATGGAGATGTGGCAGCCGCTAAGAAAACAGGAATTTAACTCGGGAAAACAGAAAGCACAAGAAAGGAACTCAAGATTGTCCCTCTTTGATACTCTTTCGTATAAGACAGAGGAGAGGGGAAACATGAACAGGTTTCAAGATTCTGTTGTTATTGCCTACAATCAATAAAATAGAGTTCTAGTACTCCTTGTGGTGTTGATTTCTTATCTTGATCTACTTCAAAGACTGATATAATCTGTGTTAGGTCTTAATCCTTGAGAGCTACTGTACTTTTTCTTCAAATATATTCAATCAGTACAATTTGATGTTTGTTTGTTTGTTTATTATTATTTATGATTTATTATTTATTTATTTATTTATTTATTTATTTATTTATTTATTTATTGGTTCAATTTATATGCCACCCTTTTCCGGAGACTCAGGGCGGCTTACAATGCGTTAAGCAATAGCCTTCATACTTTTGTATATACCTGCTTAGTAGGGCTTTCAGCCCCCCCCCCCAAGCGGTGTTCTTTTTTTTTTATACAAAGTCAGCTTATTGCCCCCACAAACCGGGTCCTCATTTTACCTACCTCGAAAGGATGGAAGGCTGAGTCAACCTTGAGCCTGGTGAGATTTGAACTTGCAGTAATTGCAGGCAGCTGGTGCTTTAGTCTGCTGCGCCATCAAGGCTCAATAATGTTGTGTTTTAAACAGGGACAACCTGCCTTCTTACCAGAGGAAAAAGCTCCCCACATCATACTTTTTTGTGGGCAGGAATGATTTTTATAGTTGACATTGTGTTCAGGACCACAGAGCCCAGCTGCAATGTAATGATATCCCTTTAGTAGGCAAAGACAGGAACTATTGCCTCCCAACTGTTTTCAATGAATTAAGTCTAATGGAAACTTAGTACACCTACTATATTAACTTCCTAGCCAAAAGGCAACGATAAGGATAGTGCATCAGAAGAAAAGATTCTGCTTGTTAGAAAAGAATTTTTGATGGAATAACTCCTCTATGATGGTGCCTATCAGTCACAAGAAATCAGGAGCCAGGATAGAGCTCAAAAACACTACAAGTTTATTCCATGCTACCTATATACAAGAATCTGATCTACTAACGGTCAAGTCAAATTGGCACCAGATAACTCAATGCATTTCAAGGAGGCGCTTGACTTATAGTAGGTTTCTTTCGGCGGGGCATGATGACATAGGGACTCCAGACTGTTGATGCATTTGATCCTGCCTGGTCATCTACCCAGTTTTGGGATTCTTTCTTGGGAGAGAATAATTTTTTTTCTGGGAGAGAATAAAAATGGCATTGACCTCCTAATCTTTCTGGGATCACTGAGACTTATATATTCACCACACATTTTCAAAGCACCTTGAGCTTGATTATTTTCTTGCAGACATTTCATTACCCAAACTAGGTAACATCATCAGTGGAAATTACTGAACTAGAATAATGTTTAGTGAATGCTGTCCCCTTTTCCAGGCTCAGACAGGAACTACAAATATTCTCCTTTATTGATTTTCAAAGCAATTTCTTCCCCTTGTCCTGCTGGTTTTAAATTGTTTCCACACTGATCACCATCTTTATTCATGTTTACTCTGTAATTTTCTACTATTTATGAAAATGCAGGGCAATGTGGGCAATGCAGACCTATTTTCTAGGCCAAATTAAAAATTATCCTAAATCTGCCTGAAGAAATCATTCTTTCCAACTACAACTTACTCCCCTTCCTTGGAGAGTAAGGAAAGACTCAGAAGGGGAGGAATGGAAACAAGATCTCTTGCTTGTTTGGCACCATAAAAGGAGTTCACCTGAATGGGATTTTCCATGCACTCTTGTCTGGTATGCTCACACTAGCGAATTCCCCTTGGCTCAATTTTCAGAGATCACCACAGCATGAAGAAGACACTCGTGTAAGATTGTTGAGCGCAGCATTTCTATCCACTCTCTCAAGGCTGCAAGTCTCAAACCGCTTACGGCCAACAGTATGTTTTACATTCAGCTGCTTGGACAGCTGGCCTAACAAGAGTCTTGCAAATCCAAAAAGGAAGTACACTTCACAGCTCAGTGGCATCAAAACCCTCCAGTTGTAGGGTTGGTTCTTCCTCTACACCCACAGTTGACAAGTTGAGGACAGAAAAGGAACAGAAACAACTCTAGGACACAGGAAATTCTTTCGATCAAGTCATGCTACCAGGTCAACATTTATTGTTTCCCTTTGACAGCTGCCCTTATAACACTTATGTAACTCAACATTCATTCTAAGCCCAACTGGTAATATGAGCCTTTCTTGATCTTCCAAGGGCCTTGACTTTGGAAACTGCTTGCATGCAACATTCTGTGTTTCACACTTGTCCATTTGCTTCTAAGCAAAAAGCAACAATGTGATCTGAGACTTGGTTTATTTGCAATAAAATTTGTGTAGTTTCCCAAAACTCTAGCTATTCCCAACCCTTCCACTTAAGGGCCATAGTATACAACTATTGTGAGAGCACTCAAAAAGAAAAATTATCCCCCGTTTTCAGTGACAGATATTTATTTCTAAGGCAGATTAACTGTGGAGCAGAGATGCTTTTATATGTGTCAGCATAAGACCCTTGCTGAAACTACAGGAGCCAGATTACAGGTTTAAAGGCTTTTGCAATGGATTGTTGGAAGGGAAGATGTGTAGTTATCCCAATAATAATAACATCAAAACAAGAATGAGAAGGAAGGAAGACAATACTTCAGCAGGTACTGCATCCTGCTATTCCAAGGATGGTCTTTCTCTACTGTCCAGTTTTTAAAATATTTTAACATGGGCAGACGTTTCAGGGGGCCAGGATGTTTGAACATCTCATCCTCTTTTTTTTATTGCAATTCTAATTTTTTTCTTCAATTTTGGAGAACCATTAACACCAGTTGTTTAGCAAACAAATGTAGGTAGGGAAAGGCAATATAATGAAATCCAGAAATATCTGGGATTACTGTATATATTAACGAATTCCTTTTACTGAAGTTTTTATTGCAACATTCATTCATCTGATCATTTCAAATACTAACCATGCTTCGAATGAGCCAAATTATATGGTAGAAAAAAATGGCACGTTCACTCAAACGTTGCCACCAATCTTTGCAATGTTCATAAGATAACCCAATATCTGAAAGAAAGGGTACAGACCAGGGGTCTCCAACCTTAGCAACTTTAAGCCTGGAGGACTTCAACTTCAATTCCCCAGCAAAGCTGGCTGGGGAATTCTGGGAGTTGAAGTCCTTCAGGCTTAAAGTTGCCAAGGTTGGAGACCCCTGGTATAGACTGTGTCACTTTTTCACCATTCGCAAATCCAGGGTGATCAACAGTAGTATCAAAAGAGAAAATTCAATATAAGCAATAAAACACAAGTGACAACATAATGACAAACTGCATAGCAAATAAACAACTACCCGGAATTAATATTAATTAATAATAAGTGAAATCAATACTAAATACTGCAGCATGGATTGTCCTACTGAGGATGCTACCCAGCTAGGTTTTCCTTCCAAGATGCTTTTTTTCAGTTATTGGAAGTATTTGTACATACGTACAGAAAATCTAAAAGAGTTCAAAATAATCACAAAAACAGCATATAAAAAACAATGAGAAGGTAAAGCCAATGAAATTTACTCTTATTTTTATGCAAGTTTTAGGAGGAAGCTGAGAAAGGCTAACCTAAAAAGGCAGGTTTTTAAAGTACACTTTAATGAAGTCAGTGTTGAGGTTTGGTATACCGCAGAGCGAAAGCTGCTGCTCAGACTGGGATCTACCACAAAACAGACCTCTCTACATTTCACTAAATAGTCATTTGTAGTTCTGGCATCA